TTTACAAGTTGAAGTTAAACCGATGTGATATTTAAACACTTGTTGAAAATTCTGTGTGAATTTACAAGTTGAAGTTAAACCGATGTGATATTTAAACACTTGTTGAAAATTCTGTGTGAATTTACAAGTTGAAGTTAAACCGATGTGATATTTAAACACTTGTTGAAAATTCTGTGTGAATTTACAAGTTGAAGTTAAACCGATGTGATATTTAAACACTTGTTGAAAATTCTGTGTGAATTTACAAGTTGAAGTTAAACCGATGTGATATTTAAACACTTGTTGAAAATTCTGTGTGAATTTACAAGTTGAAGTTAAACCGATGTGATATTTAAACACTTGTTGAAAATTCTGTGTGAATTTACAAGTTGAAGTTAAACCGATGTGATATTTAAACACTTGTTGAAAATTCTGTGTGAATTTACAAGTTGAAGTTAAACCGATGTGATATTTAAACACTTGTTGAAAATTCTGTGTGAATTTACAAGTTGAAGTTAAACCGATGTGATATTTAAACACTTGTTGAAAATTCTGTGTGAATTTACAAGTTGAAGTTAAACCGATGTGATATTTAAACACTTGTTGAAAATTCTGTGTGAATTTACAAGTTGAAGTTAAACCGATGTGATATTTAAACACTTGTTGAAAATTCTGTGTGAATTTACAAGTTGAAGTTAAACCGATGTGATATTTAAACACTTGTTGAAAATTCTGTGTGAATTTACAAGTTGAAGTTAAACCGATGTGATATTTAAACACTTGTTGAAAATTCTGTGTGAATTTACAAGTTGAAGTTAAACCGATGTGATATTTAAACACTTGTTGAAAATTCTGTGTGAATTTACAAGTTGAAGTTAAACCGATGTGATATTTAAACACTTGTTGAAAATTCTGTGTGAATTTACAAGTTGAAGTTAAACCGATGTGATATTTAAACACTTGTTGAAAATTCTGTGTGAATTTACAAGTTGAAGTTAAACCGATGTGATATTTAAACACTTGTTGAAAATTCTGTGTGAATTTACAAGTTGAAGTTAAACCGATGTGATATTTAAACACTTGTTGAAAATTCTGTGTGAATTTACAAGTTGAAGTTAAACCGATGTGATATTTAAACACTTGTTGAAAATTCTGTGTGAATTTACAAGTTGAAGTTAAACCGATGTGATATTTAAACACTTGTTGAAAATTCTGTGTGAATTTACAAGTTGAAGTTAAACCGATGTGATATTTAAACACTTGTTGAAAATTCTGTGTGAATTTACAAGTTGAAGTTAAACCGATGTGATATTTAAACACTTGTTGAAAATTCTGTGTGAATTTACAAGTTGAAGTTAAACCGAAATCATTGTTTAACTCTTGTTGAAATTTGTGGACAATTTACAAGTTAATGGTTAAACCGATATGATGTTTACCACTTGTTGAAATTTGTGGACAATTTACAAGTTAAAGTTAAACCGAAATCATTGTTTAACACTTGTTGAAATTTGTGGACAATTTACAAGTTGAAGTTAAACCGAAATCATTGTTTAACACTTGTTGAAATTTGTGGACAATTTACAAGTTGAAATTAAACCCAGATTATTATTTAAACACTTGTTAAAATTTGTAGCAATTTACAAGTTGAGTTAAACCAATATGATGTTCAACATTTGTTAAAAGTTTACAAGTTAAGTTAAACCAAGAAGTTTGCCTATCCGAGGTGTGTCACCCCGAGAAGATTGTAAAAAGAAGGAAGAGTATGTGAAAGACATGCAGAATATTTTAAGTATAGAATCACGCAAAAGCAGTCAAAAGAAGACAAAGGTACAAGCACTCAGTGAAGGAAAGTTGTATTAGCATTCAACAAAAAGAGGGCACATCGGCCATACAAAGAGCTTACATTATCTCAAAAAGAAAATTCGAAATACAAGAAACAAAAAGACGTGAAAACTAAGATTCCTCAACATCGGCAGTGAGCTGGGTTGGGACCTTGGAAGGCTGTTGAGAAGCCACCTCGGCCGCCTTTTCTATCGCAAGCTCAGCATCAATTTGTTGTAAAGTTTTGTCAAGGCTCTTATCGGCAATGGTGATGTCGGTTGATGCCTTCTCAGGAGCAGCGTCTCTGGGAACCTCATCACCTTCCTCATCTTGAGTCAAGTTTAGGACTTGCTCATTCTGAGGAGGGGACTTGACCCCAGCAACATCTTTTGGCTTCCTCACTAAAATCTCCTCCTCAGATTCAGAGTCACTGTCAGATTGAGCTAGAGTTGAAGTTGGGGCTGGAGGGAATAAAAGAGGAATGAGGTCGGCATTTCTGAAGGGCGAGTCCTCAGGGACATTAAGCTTCTTTAGAAGAGACATCCAACCAAGGGTGAAACCCTTGTTGCATGCCTGCTTCACTTGAATTTCATAAGCCTCCGTGACGTCGGCCATACCTTGAGCATATGCCTTCTCGTCGGCGTCCTTGATTTTAGCCTCTTTGGTGGCCAAGGCTTCTTGAAGCTCTTTTTCGGCTTAGGCCATCTTCTCCTTGGCCTCTTTTCTTTGGGACTCAGAAACCTTTCTAATGGCTTCGGCAGATTCAGCCTTCTCTTCGGTGTCAGTTTGGGCTTTGATTGCAGCCTCGGCTTGGCCCTCCAACTTTTTCATCTTTGATTGTAAACTTTTGTTGGCTTTTTGAAGAGCAGAGAACTCCCTTTTCATCTTGGCCAACTTCTCTCGATTTTTGAAAGGTTGAATAGAGAAAGAATGGGTATGCTGGATGGCCTGAAATTGAACAAAACAGAAGTTATTAGAAAATTTCTATGTATGAGAAAGAAGGAAAAAAGTGCCAGATGAAAGACACTTACTTGAACAGAACGTTAAAGCATCAGAGCGTAATTTTCATACTCGCTCAACCCAGCATTTCAGTCAAGATCGCCGGGGAGAAGCAGAGCAGTACTGAGAGCTACGCCGACATTGATGTCCTCGGCGCTATTGTTGGCCATGACTGGCTTATCTTCCAAGGTAATTTCGGAGGCCCAGGGGGCAGCAGGATTTTTAGACCCGGAGGTCATTGCAGAAGATGACCTCGACTTTTTTGATTTGGAAGAATCAGATGGAAATGTTTCAGCGGACCTCTTCACAAGGACAGAGACAGTTTTCTCACTCGGAGCCGCTTTGGAAATAGGCAAGGTATCCTCAGAGTCGATCTGAGACACCTTTGCCTTTGGCTGAGCCTTTTTGATTCGTTTTGGCTTTGGAGGAGGCAGGGTTTATGTTGGTTGTGCATCAACATCAAAAGGGTTGCTGGCCAAAAGATCTTTTGCAACTGGTTTTGGGCAACCCATCTCGGCAGTAGAAACTGTTCGGCGTCGACGGCGGCGTTGGGATATTGGAATCACGTATGGAGTCGAAGTTGACGGTTGCTCAGCTGGATCAGAGGTCGAGATGTGGACGCGGTTTATGGAGTTGTGGCAGATGGTGGAGAAAAGGCTTTTTTTCTTCTTCCTCCTAGGGACGTCAGGCAGAGCTGACTTGTATGTTGGAATAAAATTGAGAAGCAGGGGCGCCGTTCGTTTATGAACTGGCAGGTCCAAGAGTCTCTTCAAATCCTTGCTGGGAATGAAGGATTGGCGAAAGTTCTTTGGTGGCTAAGGATTAAAAGTAAAACAAGTATGAATGCAGGGCTCTTACCATTACCCTCTATAAAGATTGATCGTGGGAGAGGGAAGAGATGGAGGTCTTTATCTGGGGTGAACTCCCAGTTCCCCGAAGTAATGAAATAATCGTCCCCAGCTCCCTTGTTAGAGTCAGGGAGGTCGGCAACGATTTTGTATTCTGTGGACCTCGGCTTGAGGTAGTAAACGTAGCCAGTGTCTTTTTTGAGGCCACACATAGTGTAGCAATACTGGATGTCGGCTAATGTGATCCTAACATTTTCTTGTTTGGCTAAGGCTATAATACCATTGATGGTTCGATAGGAATTAATGAAAAGTTGCATTGAGTTCAACTTGTAATAATGAAGTATTTCACGGAAAAGAATGTTGAGTGTGAGCCGAAGTCCACACTCAATGAAGGCTACCATAGGGAAAGGCATGGAATCATCAGTAGGCATGATGGAGTCATCATCCCCAGCCAACCTCAGATGGACGTCGGCTGGGATTTCAAACTCTTGTCTAAAGAATTCTAGTTTGGATGGGGTGTTTACCCTATGTTTCCACATACCCATGATGTTGGCTTAAATGGAGATATTGGATTTCAGGAAGAAGTATTTTTTGAAGGTTTAAAGGACCTTGGCTAAAAACCTAAAAGTACACCTTGGTAAAAGTTTGTATGGATCTAGAGGGAGTTCGTTTCAGTTTTTCCTAAATTGTGGGTTCTACAGACAAATCCCAAACCTAAGTCTATGGAAACGAAGACTGAAGGCACAAATCTAGAAAAGACACAAAAAATAGAAACAAGAATGAGTTTTAGAAGCAAGAACAGAGATGGTCTATCAAGAGCATAAAGAATACAAGAAGTATAGGGCCAAGAACAATGGCAAAAGTATAGAGAAGTGGTGAAACAGTGCGTGTGTTCAAGATATGGGCAAGGGAAAAATCGTGGAAAAAAACACATTCAGATGTATGATTCACAAGTTAAAGGTTTGAACAAATGCAGTAATGACAGCAAGTAATAGAAAGCATCAAAGAATTGAAAACGAAAGGAACAGTAAACTCACCGAAGAAAAGAAGCCGGTGTAAGGATCGCCGAAGTCAGACAATGGTTACAGAAGTAACAGAACGGCGGAAGCTTCACCAGAAGGAGGAATGAAGGCAGTTGCAGAGCTTGAGGTCTGGAACAATGGCGTATTCAAGAGCTAGAGAGAGAAAAAGCAGAGGAATCGAATGAAAAGTGAAAAAATGGAAGAAGAGGGAAACTTTTTTTGTTAAAACTTGAAAAGGCAGCGAAATCAAATTAAATGCACCTAGAGCAGTGAATGCATCAGATGGCACATACAGACAAGACGGTTTATTGGCGCGTCGCAGGCACGATCCAATATACAGTTGGGAAAGGATAAGACTCTTAGGGAGTTTATCCCAATCCTACTAGGAGTCCAAGATTGATAGTAATCCTAAGTCCATTAGAGCTAGGCTCCTGTTGGGACAATGATTGAGTTAGCTATAAAAGAGGGGCACCCCCGTGGGTCTAAGGTACACAATTTTATTCTGAACAGTGAGATTTGCATTATTGATTATCTTTGAGAGATATACTGACTTGATCGTCGGAGTGCCCCCGGGTGGACGAACCACCGCCGGAATCTTCTCTTTCTGTTACAGGTTAGCCATGTGTCATCTATTCTGCCAGTGTTCTCCAGCTGAATACTGCGTTTGGCAGTGTGATCGGAAAATCACTCACACACCTTGATTTTTCAAATGTTGTGTAAAACATGAACAAGATACCCATTTTTGATGATATATCCATGCATCACCAGTTAAGCACACAGTCACACTAGCCATAGACATGATGTGCTTATCAAATTTTCATTGCAAGCAAAATTTACCTCTTTTTACTTATCAAATGCACATATTTATGACTCCAATGTGGTGAAGAACACTTGTAAAGTTATTAAGTTTTAGCTTAAAGTAATAGGACAAGTTGCATAACAAATTAGAGATGAAGCATACGGTTGACTGAAGGTTTTCTGACCAAGAACTCCTGTAGTGCCCACGACGCCACTTAAACCGTCCCAAAGAAAAATCAAAAATAAAATGACAAATGCCGGTAATAGACTATTAAAAACTATAGATTTTTTCCACACACAAAATAAAAAATAAAATAAAATACACAGATTTGAATAATCATATCAAAGTTACCTGCTGATGGCTGAGGAAACTTTTTATTAGCAAAAGCATTTGTTGTCTGTGTTGATTGAGTTGGCTGCAAAGGGGATGAGAAAGAAGGCTGCATTGTACAGTGTAAAATGACAAAATATATTCATAAGCATGTTTACAAAAGCTGGGACATAATATATAAATCTATACTACAAAGAGCATAAAAAAGAAAAAGAACCACATAAAAGATTTTAAATATAGGGTTAAATAGCACCCAAATTCAACAAGGTTATGATGTCATTGTGTACTAGCCGCGCCATCTACTTCAGCAGTTGCAGTGTAAGCTGCTACTCTACTACCTCCATGTTGATCGCCGAAAACCAAATGTCCAAAGCCTGCAGTTTCAAAAGTTGGCGTTGTGGACTGAGGGGCAAATGGAGTAGAAGAGGTTTGGGGGGCAACTAAATTTGAAACGGTTGAGAAATAGAATGGATTGTCAGGTGATTGAGCCAATGTAGGTAAAGGATCAAAGGACCTTGACTGTACAGTGGAACCACCAATCCCACCTGCAGATTGACCCATGGAATGGGGACCGCCTGAATTTGGAATCAACAAGGATGAAGAGTCAGTACAAGCCATTTCAACAATGAAGGCTGGCAGAGATAAATGAAGCCATGTGCATAGGAAAACATACCTTTATCTCCAAACAGATAGTCCTCCCACCTCAATTCTTCATGGCTTTTGTCTTAGTTAACCTGTCCGATGCAAATAGGAAAGCGCGTCCATGGCACCGATGCTAAGTGCAAAGTGCACCATCAAACGCCACACGTTGGATCCACGTCATCGCTTCAACCTGTCCGATGCAAATAGGAAAACGCCTCCCATGGCGCTGATGCTAAGTGCAAAGTGTGCCATCAAACGCCACACAATCCACTGCCCACATTATGAGCATGCGTGTGCGGATGGTGCGAAGCAGGATCTTTATGGCGTGAGTGCATGTACACTAGCATCCATTCCATAATTTCATATTTAAAAGAATATTCCGTATAATACTTTATTAAGTGTTCTATATTTTGTTCTCTTTCTGATGTGGGACAAAGTCCCCAATTTTTTTTTTTTTATCGACAAATGTTAGTTGTTAGATTAGCACCTATGAGAGAAAATTTCTCCACCCATGGCAAAGCACCTAAATGCTTGCACTTCATTTATTCAACTTTGGGAAGATAGATTGTGGGTTTTTTTAGCTATTTTAGTCATAAAAGACAAAATAGGCTATTTTAGCAACAACAAACAAAACATCACACTCAACCCATAATCATTACACTCTTCTCTCACAAAAAAAATTAAAAAAGTCAAAAAGTCAAAAAATTCTTTCCAAACTAAACTTTTTAGCTCAGGCTAAAATAATAATAAAATAAAAAAAAAAAAAACTAAAAAGTTAAAACTTCCCAAATCAACCCTTAATAAAACAAGCTCTACCTGTACCTGCTAAAAAAGAATCCCAAGAATTTATGATGACATGACAAGGTAGTGGTTGGGCATTTTATCCAACATTCATATCATAGA